CCTAAAAACTTTTAAAATTTGAACAATTTATGGTTATTTCGCTCAAAACGATGTTATTTTGAGTGAAATAACTCATTTAAAAAAGAAGAAAATGATAGTTGATCGGCCGAGTATGCGACCTAGTCCGTGCCGAAGATCTTGGCGGGGCTTAGGCGCCAATTAATCGTCGATTAATGTTCATGAAACTTTTTTTTTAGAATGCTACTGACTCTATTACATTGTAGGTTCGATCTCATGACCTCCCACATTAAAGAGGTCACTACATGTCATCTGAGCACAAGGTGTTTGACATATAAGATCACTTAAAATATTTGAATATTATAATATCACAATTTTTTTGTTTGGTTCAAGAAAATGTAACATTATCATTTAAAAAAATGTAAAATTCGTAAACAATGTTTTTAATTCGTTTTTAATAACATCCGTGAAAATCATTTTCACTCCATATTCTTAAAGTTATATATTTAATTTCATTTTTTGTCTTAGATTTATAGATAAAAATTTACTTTTAGTCTTTTTCTTTTAGAACATATCTTTTTGGTCATAATATTATTGTGACATGACTATTTTTGGTTATTCATCAACTAAAAAGTTAAATTCTGTAAAATATAAGAACATTTACTGATTTAAGTTTTCAATTATGATTTTTTTTCAAAAAAAAAAAAGTAAAAGTAAAAATATAGCGCATCGGCCTTATTTATACAAAAAAATCAAAATGTCTTTCTATTTATCGATATTTCAATGATTTTGTTTGTGAAGGACAAAAAATAATCATGTCACAATAATACTAAAACCAAAGAAAGATGTTCTTGAAAAAAGAAAGACGGAAAACAGAGTATCACCTATAACTTTATGATCAATAATGAAATTAACTCTTATGTAAAAGGTCTAAAAATGTTATATTACCTTAAACATCCTTTGAATCCGTTAGATACAAAACATTGTCGGACTGAGCGTAGGACTAGTAAAAATGGACACTCCATGATTGTAGGACTGAGCGTTGTTATTTAAGCCGATGAAATTCTTTGAATATAGCGTTATGGCAATGATGAAACATTTGAATTGCTCCTTAAACATGACGAATAGCATCCTTAGCTTTATGGAATCATTTAGAGACAGCAAGAAATGACCCAAACAGGGATTCTATGAGAATATTCATCAGACACGTACTCAGACAGGCAGCCCATGTCCACCCATATCATTGATGCCAATCGACTCGGATTTAAACCAAAATTCTCACAGGGCGTTTGGTTGGAGGGAAGAAATTATGTGGGAAAGGAATTATAATTTCATGGGATTTGAATTACTGGGAATAAAGTGAGAATTTAAATTCCAGTGTTTGGTTGATAGGAATAGAATTACTGGGAATTTCAATTCCAATGTTTGGTATACATGGGAATTGAAAGGGAATAAGTAGTATAAAGTCAAAAATGTCCATTATTGTTGTTAGACATTAATTTTAGGTTAAAAAAAGAAGGGGTAATTTTGACTCATCACTATCTTTTTTTCCCAGGAATTAAAATACCAGGGGGGGACATGGGATTTTAATTCCATGAAAATGGGGGAATTGCAATTCCCTCCAACCAAACTACGGAATTTAATGGCCTTTGGAATTAGGTGGGAATTAAGTGGGAAGGGAATTTAAAATCCCTCCAACCAAACGCTCTGTCACTCACACCAATTCATATTTCACCCTTTCATCCCACCACTTTTTCAACAATGAATCCAGACTAGATCTCACCAATCACTACCAAATTATACACATTTTCACAACATTAATCATTAGCATTTTGATTCATTTACTAACACCACACAAAATATTCAAACTAGAACGTAGAACTTAACGCTTCAAAGATCACCCTGAAAGTCTTGCATAGTAGAGATCCATTTTCATATGAAGATATAGGAGATCCAAAGTCCAAAAAATTAATCAATCAAGCAAGGGTAAAAACTAAAACTGAATGGACAATTCCTCCAGCACCCTTGGACAAAGATTCTAAAAACTTAGGATTAAACTAATAAATCTTGCCAAAACAAAAAATCGTGTCAAAAATAAAATAAAAAATTGAAAAGTAAACGCTACAATTATATCAAAACACACACACATATAATATATATATATATATATATATATATATATATATATATATATATATATATATATGGGTTCCCTTGCGATTGGCTACCTAAAGCGTGTTTGTACAGTTAAATCAGAATCATTGATCTTACATAAATCAACATTTAGGATTAACAATAATTAAAAAAACGCGCGGTGATAATTTGGTCTTTTTGCATCTAGATTAATAAGGTGAGTGATATTTGTATTATTTGACTTAAGGTGCGTCGATCTAACGCTTTAGGCGCGCTGTTTTCTTTCTTAAGATGCGTGATTTGTATACTTAAAATACGTCAATTGTTAAAACTTAAGGTGCGTAATATTTTAAAACATTAAGTGCCTGGTGATGGTTTTACGGCTTTGGAGGCTGGTCAGCGGACCAACACTACCGTAAAATAATGTAAACAAGAGTTTATGATGAAAAAAAAGAGTAGAACAATAGAGAGAATAATGTGATATTATTTCTCTAGAGCTTCGACCGCTTAAGTGCCAAGAGAAGTCAAAATCCTAGGGGGGATACTTATACAAGAATACAAAATCCACACAAGGAAAGTAGGGTTGGCATAGAGCCAAAATCTACAAGGAAAGTAGAGTTTATGCATAAGGACGAATCAACTATGGAAACTGGCCGCTATTGCGCCCTAATTGCCTAAGTAAATAAAGGAAGCTACTTGAATTAAATGCGAAAATTAAATTTGGTGGACATGTCTGTAACCGCCTCTGGAGAGTTCTCAATCGGTGATTATCCTGGTTGTTGAGGAGATGCCCCGGGGGGCTGCAGTGTTTGGGCGAAGATGTCCCGAAGCATAGCCTAGCGCCCAACTGACCTCCTGAATGGTTCCCAGCCTGGGACGAGCTGCCTGCGGAGCATGGTCACCCGCTCAAATTCTGTAAGGCGTTCGGTCGGGGACACATCGATTGTCACATCTGCCCGCTTTGCTCAAGCCAACTGACCTTCATCTGGGTTGGTAATCGTACTTCATGGTGGTCGATTGTTGAGAACCGACTGGATAGGATCTCACAATACTCTTCCTGGAATCGTAGGTGTTGCCCTTTTGATACGTGTCGTATAACGTTTCACAACTGAACGGATCTTATCTTCCCGACTGGTGTCCATTTCGGGGGTATCTATCACAAAATTTGTGTTTTTAAGATGTTTTATTTGTATGCTTAAGGTACATATGTTTTTGAATTAATCGCACAACGGCACAAAAAGATATACCTACACCTAAACCCTTTCATATATATACAAAGACTATTCATAATCCCTTTATACAAAACATACTGTTATGCTAAGACCTTCAACAATATGCTCAGTTATACCAAATTGAAAGATACATCATTCATTAAGAAAAGTTCCATGTTCCAAACTGATAGTCGAGCTATACATTTATTATTTACATATTATCAAGCCATTTGGTAAATAACTATTAGCTAATTAGGTTAGTAAATTTAACTAGTTAAAGCAAACAATAAAAAAATGTTTAATAAATTATCTATTAGCTGAGATTACATGTAAAATAACTTGATCAAAAAATTGATAAAAAAAAATGTTGTGCCACTTTTAAATTAAATTTTAACATTTTAAAACAATAAGTTGTTACAAAAAGCTAATTAAACAAACACTCGTAATGATTGTTTAATCAAATCAAACAATTAATAATAATCATTAAATAAACCAAAATACTAATGATTATTAAATAAACTAAAACTGACTTTAAGCTAACTCTATATGTTACCAAACAAAACTTATATGAAGATAACAGTGCATTTGGTTGGAAAAAATTTCAATTCCATTGCCACTTAATTCCCGTTTAATTTCAAAGGTCACAAAATTTCTTAATTTGTTTAGAAGGAATTGCAATTCCACAAAATTACAATTCCCTTATTTTCTTGGAATTAAAATTTCATGTCCCCCTTGATATTCTAATTCCATGAATTTTAAAAGGAAAAAAAAAAGATAATAATGAGACAAAATTACCTCTCCTTTTTTAACCTAAAATTGATGCAAGAAAACAACAATGACTATTTTGAATTTTATACTACAACTTATTCCATTTTAATTTTCACGTATACCAAACATTAGAATTGAAATTTCAATAATTTTATTTCTGTAAACAAAACACTAAAATTTAAATTTCACTTTATTAATTCAAATAATTCATGTCCTTTAAAATTGCAATTCCTATATCACGTAATCCCCTCTCATCCAACCAAACGCCTGTAAACAATTTTCTTACCACTAAGTGCCATGCTCCATACATATTTTCAGCTAGTATGACAACGTAAAAGCTTCCCGTGCAAAAACCATTACCAAACCTCCATTTTTAGGTATTTATGACCGCCATTTCTCCGCAATACATTAAACGAATACACATCTCTATTTCTCCAAAATGAACACTTTTCTAATAAAAATAAATTAACACTAGTTATTACAGTATACAATATATAATCAAATACACCATGAATGATTATACTACAAAGTAATAGTTAGAATTAACACATTAGCTCCATCTCAAATAAAAGCTTAAATTGGTAATTGAATTACACATTTATGTAAATATATTATATGCTCAACAAGCCCCTTCGAGTGTGTGAACCAGTTACTTCTGATTATCTTCTCCATAGAATATAGATTTAAACCCACCTCTTGCATGAATTTATTCTAATATCAAATTGAAATATGTGTTCTATAGTCAACTATATTAAATTTATATAATTATATGCTCAACAATTATCGACATTAAAGAAAGATCCTGAAATTGATAGATATCAAAAGTTAAGCCAAAAAAAAAAGAGGAAATAGAAATCCATACACACATGAATGCATAAAATGGGAATGCACACTAAATTTTCAGAAACAAAAGTAAATAATGAGAAATTATAATATACACATTATGCTGCAATGATATACTATACTATTGGGTAGTACACATTGATGTATGGCAACATGAAAATATGCATTACATACATGATGATTCAACTTGGCTCCATCCCATTAATATATACATGGCAAAAAAGGTCAGACATCAATCATGAGCCTACATACATACTCATAAAAGCAAACTTATTTCCATACTGGGGCTACCCTAATCATATTACCCCATTGCTATGCAGTCCCATCCACCCTCCTATCAACACAAAACAATAAATAATCATCAATATCAAGACTGCAAAAATTTTTTAAAAAAAAAAAAAAACAAAGAAACAAAATTACATGTCCAGGATTTAGCATTAATAACCTTGAACCTCTAAGTTAAGGGTCTCTCACACCCATGTCTTTGGGTTCTGGGACAAGAGATAAATCGCGAGTTGTGACTGAGTGATGTAAGGCCTGGGTAGTACCCAGGCCAACTTTTTCACCACCAAGTTATGTCCCAAGGGCGAATAAGGCATTAACGTTGTTACAAACCGCTACTCCAAACCGCTGCTTACATTAGCGTTTAGACCAAAACACCGAACATGTTCAATTCCATTTACCAAACAAGGCCAATGAAATCTTGAAACATTATTAAACATAAGCAACCATAGTAACAACATACTTCAGTGGTATCACAGTTGCATAATGGTAATGCATGTTATACTAAACCTATATAACATTAAGATCCTAGTATAGAAATACCATAAAAATTAGACAGCCAAGGTTACCCAGAAACAGAATAGTGGAATGGTTTCAGATACACTTCTATTAATGAAAATGTTCCAATATGGAAATGGATTAGCAGCAAATGAACAAATGTTTAACTTTCCCATCATTATAGATGGGAAAGGACTGGTGAAAAAACATGTCTTTTCATGATTAAAATAGCAAAGAACTTGCACCTTTCTGGTTATATGTATATATGTTTATGGATCTTTGTCGTATAGGCCTATATACAATCACAAACAGATAGATTTTCAAGTTTTAAACTAGGGGAAATGGCCAAATATTGCCTTGAGATTGATAGGGTAAAATCCAACCAAAAAAATCCAAGAAACTTCACTGTGCACATATGAGAAACGGTTTCACACATAGGGTTTTAGTAACATCAAAATGTTATCATTTCCAGCTAGAATACACAACTTTTTTCCCAAACAAACAAACTTCTTAAACACATCAAACCATGCCTTGGAAAAGGCTAAGAAAACATAGATACACAGATAGATACAAGGTGATACTCACAGACCAATATTTCCAGGTGATTTTAACCAGAAATAAAAAACATGTCTCGTCAAACATAAGATCACAAACCAACAGAAGTGATTCTCTCACAAACATGATCTACATATATATCAAAGACCCAAAGGTGATTATATCAAGATTTGACAGAAGATAAACATGGGATACATATAGATACACCAACACACGTAAGAGATCATAGTACTGTACCTGTAGAGAGAGGATTTACCTTATTCCCTTCGACACAAATTAAGACGGTGAGGAAGAAGACACGTCGAAAGCTGAGAGTATCACGGGAGTTTTACAAAGAGAAACCCACAGATCTCTGTTGGCAGTATGCCCACCTCTACCATAATAGATTTCTTCTTTTTTTTGGGTCAAAAAATAGTGGAGGTGGACAGAATGCCAATAAGCTCTGTAGGAAACCCTTTGCCAAACCTCCATGAAAATGAAGCAACCAAGCAAGCAAAGAGCAAGAACATTATTTGGTTCTTAAAGCCATGATCAAGAACAAGTGAACAACTACTAGTCTTGGAGAGAGAGGAGATGGGCAGGTGGGCACTATTTAAGATGTGAGATGTGAGGCATATGTTGTGGGATTGTGGTAAGCTAGTAAATACACTCACCAAAAGAGAGAGAGAGAGAGAAAACGGAAGTGTAATAAACAGTGTGTGGGGGGAATAATTAATAGCGAGGGGAAGGTGAATTGAAGAGATCAAAGAAGAATCATGATTGTTTTTCTTGCCCCCAAAATCCCCTTTGTTATCTCCCTCGTTTGTGATGAAAAATTTTTGAGAAAGAAAAAGTGGGAAGAAGCGAAGCGAAGCGAAGAAACCATTTTGCTTATTAGACTACTTACGCCCCAAAAAAAACCCTCGTTTTTGGTGAAGAAGCCCGCAGCCACGCACAACCCTATTTCTCTCCATAAAGACTGAAAAAGAGAGAGGGTGGGCGCTTAAAGCCATCCCATAAAGGCATTTTGGGTCTTCGCAAATGACTTCACTTGAGAGAGGACGGTCTCTAGAGACTAAGGATCTAGTCTTGCTAATGATGGTGTATGAATAACTTTTTAAAAGAGTTAATTTTATTTTCTATTCTAAATTTATAGACGACAATTTATTTTATTTTTATCAAAATATTATCTTTTGATCCTAGTATTATTATAACATGATCAATTTTGGTTCTTTATAAACAAAATCGTTAAAATTTTGTTAAATTAAAAAATATTTTTTTTCTTTTTAATACAAAGTGCGTCGACTCATTATATTTTATATATATATATATATATATATATATATATATATATATATATATATATATATATATATATATATATATATATTTTTTAAATTTCATAATGAAGAGCGAAATGCCTTTGTATTTAACGAAATTTGAACGATTTTTTGATAAATGATCAAAATTGGTCATGTCACAATAATACTAGGACAAAGAATGGATGTTCGATAAAAAAAAATTAAAAGTGAACTGTTACCTATAAATCTATGATCAAAAATAGAATTAACTCCTTTTTAAAGCAAGAGATTCTTTGTATACAACAAATAAAAATCTAACATTTGTTAGTAGGTTGAATTACTATAATTTACTCTTTCACAAACTTAGGTGGCAATTTCACTTTTTGTCACGAGATATTTTAACCAATTTATAGCATTTATTAGTTAGAGAGATGTGTTTGGTTATTAGTTATAAGCTAGTAAATTACTTGTGCGACGCACGGATACTATTTTTTTATATATTTAAATAATAAATTCAATGATGATTATAAATCATTTTAATATTTGAAGGTGTACGTTTATTTGAAATTATAAGATCTGTATATTAGTGTTGGAATTGATTACTTAACAAATTATATTACGAAAAGTCTAAACAAAAAATAGAAGGAAGAGCATGACTAATTGATATTATTTTAAGTAACAAAAATATACAATTATCAAATGAAGGTAAACTCTATGTTTAATTACCATGGTAAGATTAAAGTGTTAAATACAGGTTGATAGTATGAACGTAATATGCAGCCTTTAATTACCCACAAATCTTTGATTAAAAAACCATTATCCAATAATTAAACAAATCTTTCATCCTCCCAAATGCTCTGTCGGGCCGGGGTATGGGGGGCCCTTAGGGTTGGGGTTCAGCCTTTTGGAAGAATAATTAAATAATTATATTGCCAAGTAGTTTGTTTGTAGCTTAATAACACATATATATCTCTTCCAAATAGGAAATCACAGGTTGATGTATTTATACGTCATTTCACGTATTTAAAATATATTTAGTGTACAAACATGTCCATCTATTTACACCATTCATCAATCTTCAAAGCGGTAGGGGCAAATAAGTTGACTAAGAATCAATGGTCGAACCCTTGGCAGTTGGTTATGGTGAATGAGTCTCTTGACTCTCTTCCACTCAATCAAACCATCTAGGTGGTTTTTTTTTTTTTTTTTTTTTTTTTAAGTTAATGTTATCAAATGATGAAAAATAATTAATGTAATTAAGTAACGGCTAATAATTGTTTACCAAACTGATACTGTACAACTCTTTTTTCTAAAAAATGGTAATGAATTTAATTTGAAGTTAATATGGATGCACATCACGTATTTTCTTAATCATTTCTTTTAGCAGATTAATGAAATACAACATCAACTGCATAGATTATTAATAATAAACATAGATTACTATGTAATCCTTAATGAAATAATAAATAAATAAACAAGAACTATAATAGGATTCTTTTAACAATCCAATGTATGTTCCCTTCGCGAACGAAATAATGAAGTACAATTTATATTTTAATCATTTTCTCTTATGACTTGTAAAGTATTAGCAACCAATTAATAAATATAAATTGTTTAAAATGTTATTTTTATTATCAAATAATCCTCTAATTAGTTTTTTAAAAATAATTAAAGTGATACATGAATCACACATCATAATTATATTGCTCTACCAAAACGAACCATATAATTATCATATATAAAAATGATAGAAAAAATTGTGCATATTAAAAAAAAAAAAAAACTTTTCATCAAAAAATTAAACATAAACAAAAAAATAGTTGTAATTGAAAAGAATGATACGGGGTATATGATACACAGGAAAAACAGCTTTTAATAATTAAAACAAGACCTTTTGTTGTCTCACGTCCTTTCTACGGTCAATGTAAGAAGTGTATACATCAATATAATGAATAAAGTTGTAATTAAGACCACTGTTATCCCATCTCAACATATAAAATGTACTGGCATTTTCAACTTTTTTTTTTAAAGCTGCTGGCTCTATTATACTATAGTACTGAGGTTCGAACTCATAATCTTCCAAATGAAAGTCCAATCCGGGTACCATTAAAACATATAGTCCAAGCATTTTTTACTTAATTTTTTTTTTTTGAATAAAATAGTTTTTTTTTTAAAGCAATAAAATAGTTCTATTATAATTATTAATAAATATATTAATACAATTATAATCTTTAACGTATAAATCACATTCATTTACAATAATTTATAATAACAGTTTAATTTTTAAAGAAATATATATAGAGTATAGAATAAATATCTCAATAATTAAAATGTACAATTCCATTTTTTTTTGGTACTACTGATTCGGTTATAATGTAGTATCTATTCATAAATACTTTCTCAACCTACTGAAACACAGATATTACAATCCCATATGTATTTATGAGTAAATTTGTAAAAAAAAAAATCTAGTACTTTTTGGTTGATATCTATAGAGAGTTAGATGGAATGTTATTATCAAAAACAGTGAAATTGGATAAAATTAATAAAAAATTAATTTGAAATAAAACTAATAAATTTTAAACCTTGGATATAATTATAACTATTTTTTTTTTACCAATAAGTCTATTTAAAAAAAAAAATATTGCAATTCAAATACCTAACCATGTAGGTCTAACACTCTAACTATTCTAAGATGAGGATGAGGTAGCGGCCATGTATTCTTCTGCTAAATGCATAAAGTTGAAAATGTGGACGAATAATGAAGTCTAAGGAAATTGATTTAAATCATGATTTGATTTTGACAAATATGGGGTATATTTAATTTCATACTAACTACTTTTTAGAAAAAAAAAAAAAACATTTTAATTTCATGAGCTATGAATTCAGTTCTGGTATAATTATGTTATAAATATCATCAACTTTAATTTTTAGGTTGTGAGCAAATGGATGTTTTTAATCTCTTTATTAACATACATGCCTATCAAAATTTAATACGGAGTATTATTTTTTTGAAACTCTAATCCACCGAACATAATAATGAAAGTTTACATTTTATTTCTTTCTCTGGTTCCAAGTTTGAATTTAACTTCAAAACATTTATGGTCATTAGTGGAGTAACGTAAAATGTTGACCTTCATTACCTGAAAAAATATATCAATATAATGAAAGTCAGTGATTTATATTTTTTGTCACTATGAGAGGGGGGGGGGGGGGGGTGGGGGGGGGGGATACGAGAGAGAGAGAGAAATATGGAATAGAATTTCATTACTGTATAGTACTAAATTTGGTGAATTAGCATTTCTTAAGATTTCAATTAACTAAATTTTGACAAACCCATTAAAAAAGTTAGGAATAAGGTTCAAATTGGCCACTGAACGTAACCTGAAAATACAATTAGGCCACTGAAAGAAAAAAAAAAAGTGCAATTAGGCCACTTGAACACTCCAAATGTATGCAATTTCACCTGATAGCAGGTTACCATCAATTTTAGCAGGTTACCTGCTTACGTGGCAGCTGAGTTGGCATTTTTAATAATTTTTAAATAATTTTGAATAAAGTTTAATAATAAAGTTTTTTTTTTTAAAAATTATTTAAAACAAATTTAATTTTTTTTAAAAAAAATTTATTTATTTATTTTTTTCAATTTTCTTTTAAAAAAATTTATTATTAAAAGTTATTAAAATTATTTAAAAATTATTAAAAATGCCAACTCAGCCGCCACGTAAGCAGGTAACCTGCTAAAATTGATGGTAACCTGCTATCCGGTAAAATTGCATACATTTGGAGTGTTCAGTGGCCTAATTGCACGTTTTTGGATGTTCAGTGGTCTAATTGCATATTTTTTTTTCGTTCAGTGACTTAATTGCATTTTTAGGTTACGTTCAGTGGCCAATTTGAACCTTACCTATAATATATGAACTAAATCCACCATTAATAAGTTTGGTAGCAAAAGTATAATTTTTCCTTCCCTTTAGAAGAGGTAAATAGAAGTCGAAGTTGCACGCAAAAAAATTTATATGCTATATAATTCGAACTTATAAACAAATATAAATTTTAAAATGGGACAAAAGCTACTTAAAAATGTCTCAAACTCTATTTTTCTCAATTCAAATGAGTATATTTTGATAATCAATTTATCATTCAACCCCCCCACCCCCCCCCCCCCCCCCCCCCGGCGTATAACAAATCACATACAACTTATCACTTAAGGAGAACAGAAATCCACTTTAATTCGACTCAAATTGGGAGTGGTCCCTACAGAAAGCTATACCACAAAATGACTATTTTAAATATTATTTTACGTCAAAATTTTCAACAGAAAATCCCACTAGAAAAACCTAAAGGAAATAACATAGTTTATGAAAAGAGTATATGATATTTATGTATTTATGTGTTAACAGGATTTATCATTAAAAAAATGTTAATAAAGAAAATTATACGAAAAAATTAATCAAAAGAAAGAAAAAGAAAAGCACAATTATTGGTATTATATTCAAAACCCAATCTTCAAAATTGTTTATATGAAATTAAATGTCACCATTTGGAAGAAGACAATCTTCTAGATGTACACATTATGATAAAATAAAATTGTCTTTCAAAAGTAAGTGTACAAAAAGATTTGATAAATAAATAGACTAGATTGTCACTATAATTAACATTTTATATAATAATTCTACGAGTCTTATAGAGCTCATGCTTAAGATTTCA